CAGGTGGTAGGACGGGCAGAGGTAATGAGGGTAAGAACCTCACTTGGAGAGACAGGGGAGAAGGAGGTTAGTGTATGGGTGAAGGGAGGGTCTGGTGACCTAGCGGTGAGTAAAGGTGAGTCAGAAAAAGAAGAATGAATATCATCAACCTTTTTTTCAAAGTAGTTAACAAAGTCGCTTGACAGAAGGAAGGAGGGGGAAGGGGCTTTGGGGGGGTCCAAGAGGGTGGAGAAGATGGAATATAGTTTTTTGGAATTGGAAAAATGTGAAAGAAAGTGCTTTTTGCCTGAGAGATCGAAGAAGAGAAAGAGGAGAGGAAAGCCTGATGTTTGGATTTCCACCATTTCCGCTCAGCTGCCCGAAGGATGGTTCTATTAACACGCAATGCGTCATTTAGGGAGTAGGAGGGGACTGACGAGCCTGCCGAGATGTGAGAGGACAGAGAGAGTTCAGAGAGGATGAGAGAGTAGAGAGGAGAGTTTCTGCAGCAGAGTTTGGAGGCAGGAGTTGGAACGAGTCAGATGAAGGGAGGGCTGAGAGCACCGATGAGGCAAAGGTAGAAGGGGAGAGGGAACGGAGGTTACGGCGGACAGGTGCAGGTTGAGAAGAGATTAGGTTGTTATGTTTGGAAAGGGGTAGAGAGAATGAAATGAAGAAGTGATCGGATGTGTGGAGCGGGTTTATAGAGAGGTTAGAAGTAGTGCAGTTCCTTGAGAATATGAGATCAAGGACATTGCCAGCTTTATGAGTTGGTGGGGATGGAGACAGTGAGAAAGCAAAGGCGGTTAAAAGAGATGTTAGTTCAGATATCTTCCCCGTCTGGAGGTTGAAGTCTCCGAGAAGTACAGCGGGAGGGCCAGTTTCAGGGATGTGTGAGAGGAGATTATCTAATTCCTCCAAGAAGTCCCCCAAGGCGCCTGGTGGACGGTAGAGAACAACAATGGTTAATTGTATAAGATGGGTTACTGTGACGGCATGGAATTCAAAGGTGGAAGGAGTGAAGTTAGGTAGCTTGAAGAGGGAAAAGCTCCATTTGGGAGAGAGCAGGAGACCAGTGCCACCTCCTCTGCCAGAGGGTCTGGGTGTATGGGAGAAGGAATATGCTGTGGAGAGAGCTGCTGGGGTGGATGTGTTGGATGGAGTAATCCAGGTCTCCGTGAGAGCAAGGAAATCCAGAGACTGCAGGGAAGCGTAGCCAGCGATGAAGTCAGCCTTAGGAACAGCTGACTGGCAGTTCCACAGGCCCCCTGAAACTAGATGTTGGATCTCAGTGGAGCATGTGGGATAGACGAGAGCAGGCCGGTTATATCGATTAGGAGATGCACGGGGCCAGTGATAATTGCGAGAGGATACATGAACAGGAATGGAGAATATACACATGTTTCAGCATGAGGGGATAAAAACACCGGCGATACTTAGCTCAGTCAAAGTAGGATTTCCCTCCTCTTTGCCTCCCTCATGACTCCTGCAGGACACTATTGTCTTTGTCAGTCTTAGAGACTCCCGCAGGACTCTATTGTCTTTGTCAGTCTGAGGCTCCAGGAAAGTGCTGCCTAAAATGGACACCAGTCCTGATTGCTGAGTTCTCACAGCTGTGGGGCCAGGCCCCTTTATTTAGTTAACTCTCTGCAGCTGATGGGCAGCAATAGGAAATTGAAACTGGATTAATCCTGAGTTCTTAATGAAACTTTAAGTTTACAATTACATTAAACCCTAGCTAATACAGTTATGAGGTTAACCCTTAATACAGTTCCCCCTAGTCAATAAAGCCCTTAGTGTTTAATGTTTAAATCAAAGTAAACCCTAACAACCAGTTAGTTCTGTTGTAAGGTTTCTGTAAAAATAATTGTCCCAAATCTCTGCCTGAAAACACTTTAGCGGTTTTGAGATTAAAATCACAATTTCAATCAGATCAACTACAGAACATTTATACAGAGCACACTGAAACAGAGAAGTCTAAAAAACAAAGTGTTACTCACACAGTTCTAGAAGTCAGCAGCAGTATCCTATCTTAAGTTGAGTTGCAGACTGACATTTTACTAATACAAATACTGTGTACAAAATCACTACTTAAGGTGGCGTTTGCCATTACCATAACCTGAGCGTTCTCTGAACAAGAAAGAAGAATCAGGAAAAATAGGACGCAAATTAGGATACCATATCCATGCTCTGTCTTCTTGAATGTCACAGTGATATCTTTTTTTCCCCCTCTCTACCCTTGTCATCCTCCACACCTTCAGCTTACTCTGGATCAGTAATAGAGAGGATGGTGTGTTACCCAGAAAAATATCGGGCCGTTCACAAAGCCCCGCGAAGCAATAAGCTGCTCTCGTATCGGCCGAGATTGCCATTTAACCTATGATTCGCAGCTCATTTCCACTCACCATAGCTTACATTTTTTATAACAGCAAATTGTTCTGACCACTGTGTTCATACCGCACAAGAAACAGTTGCAGATAATTCAAAGAAGGCGATGTTGCCAAGGACAAAAGAAGCAACGTGTCGAGCTGAAGGAGATTAAGAAAGCTGCCCACAGCTTTCAGATTGTGCAAGTTTACAATTTCTGTCATGTCAAAAACCTCAAATAATTTCTGTTTTTATCTGAAGGCTGGCAATATGAGGAGGAAGCTTGAAAAGTTATTAACCTTTGATCCCAGTTGCAGATACCGAATGCTGCCAAGAAAAGAGTGAGAATGGATAAAAGGATGTACAAAAGTTAAATAAAAAAACAAGAAAGAGCAAAAGGAAACTTTATTGATCGCTGCGGGGGAAATGTTGTGGCAACCATAAAAGCCAAAGGTGACAACAGGATATAAAGATAAAAATGGAAATCAAGTGGTAAAATACAATAAGGTGACTTGTTATTAATGGGTGAGATGACCTTATTGCATGCATTCTTTACAGCTACAGGTTGCAATGTGTACAATGGGTGTTGGTTACATTCAAGCCTTTTCAAAAAAGTCTGCTATTTATTTTTAGTCTGGAGAAACTTTTCTTGTAAGCCATATTCGTAGCCGCTGCACTCAAAAAGCCTAAAAAGCTTTCAAAGACAGACTATGTATTCAATGTAGATATTCATTAAATAGAAAAAAGGTAATATTAGAAAAAGGCGAAGGAAATAGAAAAAAATAGACAAGCACTGTGGAAAGGAAATGAAAATGACTGTAACCCGCACACATAAAGGTTTTCTCTTCTGACTCCCTGAGGACCAAACTTGGAGCAGGAACGCCTTTAGAGGGAGTATTTCACATCCATACACACCAAATCCCCCTGAGTTCTTTTCAATGCTAAAGAAACATATTTTTCTCCCTCCTCAGAGTCTTTTTAGTCGGGGTAAAGAGCAAGAGCAAGGTGCTGCAACATAGATCCACTGCACTCTGTCATATTATGGACTACACCTTCTTAAGTATGCAATAATTCCCTGTGAGGAATTCATGTCCTGAGGTAAAAGGCGTTGGGCCAGTCTCCACAAATTGGTTTATTGGGTGTTTAAGGATGCCCAACACCAAACTCCACCATCCAATGAGCTCTCCATGCATCGTTGAGCTCTTAAGGTCTAAAGCGTTTCATTATTCTCACCACAACCCCTGTGGGATCAATGTTTACTCTCTAGTTTTGTAAAGCATAAAAAGTTATCCATGTTGACTTAATGTTCAGTTTTAAATTGTGCTGTCTCTAATCTGTTGTTATATGCCCTCTGGTGGCATTGGTTAGTGAGAATACAAATGGATTGTGTCAACACTGTTGATTCAGGCAAAAACAGAGAAACAAACAGAGACTGGCTAATGGGGTGATTGATTGGTCTGATGTGTTTAGAGTTGAGTGGAATCAAAAAACTGTTTATTTCAACAATTGTATCCAGAACTTGTTTAAAATCATCCTATAAAATCTGACTGATAATGAAATTGCTACAATAGTGAGGCAACGATTAAGTGCATTTAATACTTCGCCATTTTAGGCTAACCAATTAATATGTGTTAAGGCATGACCCTCTGTGGTAGAGATTAAGGTGTATATAATATAAGGTGCATTCAAGTTTGTCTGTACTGAAACAGAAGTTAAACTTGCTGCCGTTTATTTATTTCCCTCAACGTTTAACTTCTGTAATATACAACAACATACTGTGCTGCATCTCCTCTCACCTCTCCTCTTTTTTGGGGGAATTTGGGTCACCACTGTTCATTTAAGCTGACAGGAGCAAATTCAAGGAGTGACACCAGCCGACTGTAGGGAATTACATTATAAATTAGATAGTTCTTCTTCAGTCATTTCCTTCTCCAGATTTTCTTCTTGGATATGTGAATATGTTTTCAAGGTCCAAAAAGAAGGCTCATGGGCAAAAAACTAAACCCACAGCTTATGCCGACGCTGATCCTACACTGACACATTAACATAGAAATACTTACTTAGACCCTGAACACAAGGGGATGATAGATAACATTTACTGTATCCGTGCATAAAAAAATAACCTAGATGTTCCTCGCTTAGAACAAAAGCCCCAAATCCTCCAGCACAATACAGTGTGTTTTATCAATGAAAACCTTCCCTATGGAGAAAATATCACAGGTTCTATCCATGCCTGCCGTGGTGACAGGAAGACAGGAAGTCTACAGAGACCTCCTTTGCAGGTCTGAATCTACTGAAGCGTTCTGACACCTTTGCTTCTTCCTCTAGAAATCGGCTTGTGGCTTTGAGGGGTTTTGTCAACACCGGAAAAGGAGTTGGCTGACATTAAATCCTCGTACAGAAAATAGTAAACAGCCACAGCATGCAGGTGGGCTGTGATGTCAGATCAACTCAATTTAAACTCCATTCACTGTGGTGTTCCACAAAATCGTTTCTTGCTTCTGAATCTTTCTGAAAACCAAAGCAAGTTTTAGACATTAAGACTGAGGATGTAATGCCCCTGTTTTAGGGGCAGGAGCACAACAATGAACAATAAAAGGCTTTTACTTCCATAGTCCCCAAAATCCTCTGAAAACAAGTTGTTAACGACCTGAAGTTCATCAATCACATTAAGACATTTATAAAGTCAGACTTAAAAATATATCAAGGATGTAAGGACGTAAGTCTAAGCAAGATTTGGAAAAACTTGTCCATGCTTATCCTTCAGTATACACTCCACTGTAACGGGGTCTTTTTAGGGTCTTATTAAAAAAGTTATTAAGTAGTTTATAGAGCTCCAGCTGATTGGGAACGCTTTTGCTGGAGCCCTCACTGACACGAAGAAAAGTGGGTCACATCCCTCCAGCTCTGAGGTCTTAACACTGGTTTCATGCCAAAGAAGTTAGACCAAAATGCGTGTTGTATTTTCCGCTACATCATGAGCCATCAAGAACTCTCAGGATCAGTTCTGCACTTTGTCCCCAGATTCAAAACTTTAGGAGAGGGCAAGTTTTTATCTGGAACAAACTTTTAAAACAAGGCTATCCAATAAGGATTATTTCTTACTCTTAACTGTTACATTGAATATTTTTATTTTACACGTGTCTTGTTCTATTTTAGCCTGTTTTATTGAGCATTTCTTTTGTAATTACTTCTGTTTGTATTTAAAAGTTCTTCATAATCTCCTTATTTTTCACTTTGTTTTATATGTGTTTAATGTTATGGGTAAAGCACTTTGAATTGCATTGTTGTTTGAATGAGCTATACAAATCAACTTTGCCTGCCTTAAAGTAAAATAACTTATACAACAGTATTTGTGTCTACTCTCCTTACATAACTAAGCATGATGTCAATCAAAAGGGGGGGGGGTTCTCATTCCCGGCGTTTTGTTTTTGTTATTTGCGAAAGTGATAATAATCTCTTAAGAATTGTGCAGTGTCAGGATGACAAATTGCTTAAACAATCTAATAAACAGGCTGCTTGAAAAATTGTTTCTTTAGTTTACCAGGTTCCAATTAGGCTGTCCAATTTAACAAGATGGAACAACGTCTAATACTCAACAAACTAGGGATATTCACAGAATAAACGTACATATATTTAATTGTTGTAAGAATCTTCTCTACTACTCATGCAAACAGTTTTCAGGAATACATGTGTTGTGCCTGTGTGTCACCCTCAGGCTGGAGTCTCCCACCCGGTCCTTACTTATGGAGGCTCCTAAAGGCATCCAGATCCTGGCTGAGGCCGGAGACATTCAGGCCATCTGCAGGAACGAGCTGCGACTGGAGTCCAAAGACGGAGAGGTGCGTCAACCTAAAGTGCAAATGAACTTTTTGTCTGTTTGAAAGTCGAGAACTTCACCAACTCAAGTCTTATTGCCATGGCTTAGGCGATGATGGCATTACTCATTATAAAAAGAGAATTGCTGAGACCTGGCAACACTGATAAATCACTCAAATCTAGTCTGATAGGTCTGAATACACAGTCAGAACTTATTTAAGGTAAGAAAAATACTTCTTCCAGCTTTGACGTGGACTATACTTAGTGTAACCATGCACAAACAGTTGTCCTGTGCAATGAGTGAATATTAATATTGTGATATTTGTATCACTGGTATCCTCATGAAGTGGGTTAGACAGTTTGGTATTAATATAATGGAACGAGCTCTAAGGGGCTGTGTAAAGATATATTGGAGTAGTGTCTACCTGAGTGAAGAATGAAGTCACGCTCCCTCTTTGCCCTTTTTCTTTATTAGCACCATTGGCCTTTTCATGATAGAAATATTGACAGGTTGTGTGTTATTAAATAATAATTGTAATGATGGTTCAATTCTATTAAGCTACTTTGATTTCTGTGTCTTGGTATTGGACATGCAGACTTTCTGTCATGAGTTGGGATACCTGACCAAACAAAGTATAAAAACACTTTTTTTGTTGGTTAAATGCAGTCCTCTTATGTCTAAAAAGCCTTATACACAAATACTAAAACTCCCACTCTGTGTATTGGCAAGGGTATGAGTCATCTTGTATTGTCCTCAAGCCATACTGGCTGATAAGGCTTCTTCTCAATTGAAAATGGTGCCTGTCCAAACTTATTTTTAGCAAACAACAATCCAAACAATAGTGGACCAGGACCAGCTTTGGCTTCTGGCAATTTCCCACATACTGGCCGTCCACCAGAATCTGTTAGAGCCTCACAGAAGAAGAGCAGGAAATTAGAGAACAGAAGTTGATTTGTTTTTCTCTTTTTTATGCTTATATCCTCCTTTCATTTCCTAATTCAGTTGTCTGAGGTTCTTTCGCATGTGTACTTTAACAACTTTCATCCACTTTCCATTTTCCTATCTTATCTGAACCCCTCCTCCTTTCTCTGTCCTCCTTCTGTCTTTAACTTTGCTTTTTTAACCTTTTTTATCATTTTTTCACTGATTCCCTCGTCATTCTCATGCTACTTCTTTATTTCTTTCCTCCCTGCTCTTAAATTCCTCCAAACCTCGTCTGATTCGTTACACGCATCAGTCCTCACATTCATCACGCTCGGCTGCGCTGATAAAAGAATGTACCTCCTTGCGTTGCAGCAGTTGTGTCATGTCAGATCTGTTTAAATCACCGAAAGGAGGATTAGGGAGAAGAAAGTGTTTAAAAACTTTCCCACAACAACATTTAAATACATGAAGACAGGCTCTGATATGGGATTGAGGAAGAGAGACACTGTTTCTGGAAAGTGTTCTTGGATTCAGTTTAGTTCAATTAAAAATAACTGCAGTAGCCACGCCCACAGCACATCAGTTTTCACGGCTGTGTGATCCACAGTAAGGCTGTTAACTTATGATGGTCAATTCACATAATTAGAAATACGTTCTCATGCTCCATTAGCGTGCAAAATGTCCATTTGTCAAATCTTTCACACACACACATACTCACACACACTCTATCCCCTCTCCTCAGGACCCCCTTGGCACCACCACTGCAATTACAGAGTGTCTTTGGTCATTAGACACCCACAAACCACACAGGCCGATACAGAAATAGACACACACACACACACACACACACACACACACACACACACACACACACACACACACACACACACACACTCTATCTGAAGCTATTCACAGTCACATAACTAACACTTATTAAGGGTGACCTCACTCAGTCTGATCATCCGGTTTAAGATGTCAGTGTGCTTTTTCCGAACCATGTACAGCAGTGACTTATTGGGGTACTATAATATCATGCAACATCACAGCTGGGTGTAGTCACAATTACAGACCACAACTACACCCAGTGTGGTTTATCCATAGACTCAATCAAATAGGGCCAGAGTGTCTGTGATATCACCCACGGGTTTCTGAAGATATGATGGGAAGCTGAAAGTAGGCTGTTCTCCAGCATCTTGGCTGTCTAACTCCTGGCTAATCTAAAATAATTGCATAGTTTAAGGGACCCACCAGGGCAAATATTTAGCAGCTAACAACATACGAGAGCACCAACTTGTAACTCAAGGCTGCCTTCCATTTAAACGTTTTATTTTTGTTGGGTTAGAGTTAGAAGTTTCAATTCTACTTGGTAATCGATAATATCATCAATACCTTAAATTACCTACCAATACCCAGCCTTATAATTTGTATTTGCACTATACATGATAACTACAGTGGTAGTGCATTGGGTTCTGGGCCCTGGGCTGACCCACATTCAGTGCTGTGCTTGAACGCATCTTATAGACAATGATGGATGCTTTAAACTGCTGCCGCTTTTCTGACATTGAGTGTAATTGTTGAGGTTGCATGACTGATTCTTCCTCTACCAGGTTTTACTTAGTGTATACAAGTGTAGAGTAGGCTTACATCTCCACTGTGTTGCAGGTAGGAAATTCCTAATAAATGAATATGAGACAACATTGAAAAAAGTTCATTCAAATGTATCGAAAGTCGGTTCGAACTACCTGGGTATTTGTCAGTTAAAAAATCAGAAAATGATTCCTACCTTTCACTCTATGTATATACTTCATGTTCTTTGTTCTATGCTAGTGTACAACCATGAGCACAAGCCTCAAACACACACACACACACACACACACACACACACACACACACACACACACACACACACACACACACACACACGGAGGTCTACCCTGTTTGCCCCTCGTGGTGAAAGATTTGCTCAACAGCAGCTGAGGAAGTCAGCTGAGACTCTGCTTTAAAAGGGTTCCAGGTCATTTGATGGTGATGCCTCCCAGAAGTGCCCGGTAATGGCTCCTTTACCTTTTATATGGCTGGAGAGCTCATTCCCTCCTCGGCCAGTGAGACAGCAGCCCTGTATGAGCCCCAGGAGGCTGGTAGGGAGGAAGGATGAGAGGGGAGAGGGATAGGATTCATGCAGCAGTGCTTTGTTTCTGCGCAGAGGGAGAAGGGCAGTTTTGTTCAATCAATGAGGGGTTGAAGAGGGTAAAATGAGTGGATGAGAAGCTGTGTGCGAGTATGTGTTTGTGGCGTTGTAGTAAGGAATTTTCTAGTATCTTGCTCTTTTTGTATTCCTCTAGAGAGAAAAGGAATGACCTGGGACTCAGCAGACATTGAACACATTTTTGTTTTTGTTTTGCCATCCATTTTGTTATCTTCGTTATTGTGTCTAAGGCATTACATTGTTAAAAAATATAAAATGTCGGTTGTAATTTGCTGATAAATATCTGACTGGCACAGCTGTTTTTTTTGTCTGTAAGCATGGATCTCGGAGTGTTTTTCGCAATATCTTCTGGCTATTCCCGGTTTTGAGAGAATTACTTTTACCATTCACCTATGTGTTGTCTCATGCTTCAGAGATTCAATCTGATAACCTTTAGGTGACAAGCTCTCTTGTCCTGTAGGCTACAATACCAGGCAGATGCATTCTGGGTGGCTTTTCTCATGGATATCACTCTGCCATATATCAGAGCTCACGCTCAAAATCCAGCAAATGACCTTTATCATTCTCTTCACTCATACACTGTCGGTGTGCACTGAATATTAGAAAGAGCTGGAAGAACGAAGGAAAAGTTCTCTCACACAAGATCCGTTGTCAGGGAAATTGCATAGTTGCGAATTGAGTTCAATCTCTAGACTACTTAATATTCTAGGAAACCAACAAAGTGGAGTGCTAGGGTTTTATATGCCAAAGACACTATTTGTGTGAGTACAATCCTGTGAGTTAGAAGTTCTGCAAAGAAAAACAAAAGCTTAGCAACGGAGAGCGGGTGAAAAGATTTGCTTTGAGAGCAATTAGAGTGAAGAGACAAGAAGAGACACATGCTTCAGCGGGGGCTAGCTTAGGTAAAGATTAAAGGGGAAAAGACGATTATTTTAGCCTATAAAGAAAGAAAATGGGTTCCTCTTCTGGTCTGAATGAAGAGTGAGGATCTTAGGGAGGTTGAACGTACTGTATAATAAGTTGATGAAGTTTATCAAGGTGAGGCGATTTGAGTAAGATTGAAGAAACTGTAGCTGGTTTTCTGCCAAAAGTCACATATCCTGACCATCGACCTGAGTCAGTCGTGTCCAGTTGGCCTCAGTCCAAACACCTCAATTCACTATACTGTAAGCTACTTAACTTGGACTTGTCCTTTGTGGGTTAAATGTCCAAAGTCACTATTAGTCCAGACTTCAACCTCATACAATGAATTGTGATTTCTGAAAGGTGTGAATGCTTTCAAACAGAACTAATATAGGTAGTATGGCCCTAAATGGGTTGTACTTACAATCGGCACTACAATCTAAACCCATGTTTCACCCATGCAGAAAAAAAAGATCCATATTTATCAGAATACGCGGATGTTGTGCTATCTTAAAGATAGTCAGATGTTTGAATGTTTATTGATTGTTATGTGTATACCTGCCCAAGGACTGCATGGAAATCAGTTTACAGCTATAATCTGGCATAGCATCTCTTATCTTTGAGATTAAGTGTCCTATCATGCTAAATGCACTTTTTGATGTAGTTTATACATACAGTCAGGGAACTCAAAAAGTGTCAGAAAATAAAACCCTCTCTCTTTTCCTCCTTACCCACATCTCTAAAAACGGGGGTACAACGGAGCAACCCTGTCTCCTAAAAATTACATTCCCACAGAATTAAACTGCATTCTCAATTACGTTTAGCTAGAAACTTATTTTCTCCCACTTTAGACGTTTGTTATGAATACATTTATTTTTTCTACATATCTTCTAGAAACATATTTTCTCCCACGTTACGTTTCTTATGAACGCATCTTAAATACATTTATTTTCTACATATCTTTGCCATATATTGTCTTGCTTATAATAATGATAATAGTCATTTATAAATATCATTTTAGAACACACATTTGAAATCGAGAATCGGGCTCGATATATGGTTAAATTAAAATCAGTAGGCGAGGCAGTCATTTCGCCAGCTGTTACTCTCATGAGCGAGGCAGAAAATAATAGTTTTAACATGCCAAAAAGCTGCTGTGTCGTTTATTGCACATCAAACATTAAAACAAATCCAGAGTTACGTGTTTCTGTACTTCCTCTAAGAAGTAAGGACAGTAAAAGAAGATCTCTGTGGCTTCAGGCTTGACCGCCGTTCAAATGACAGCGTTGGTTTCCCCAAAAGTGGGCGGGGCTGTAAAGTGACGTAGATTCTACTCTCATCTATTATTCAAAACCATTCTATTTATTCTCACGTAAATTACATGCCAGTGTTTTATCTTTTTATTTAGCGATTTGTTTTTGCAAGTTTAACTGGGAATGTTTTCATGTTCGCTGATTGGATGTTTTAGCCGCAATGCACGTTGGGATGTGGTGTTAATGCGATATGATATCCGAAAAAAAAATCAGAGTTTAGGATGGCCGAAGACACTACACTACCCATAATCCCCGGCTATCGTTTGGGACTACAGTCCCGTTGACAAACCCCGTGATTAATCTTCAAGCTCTGGGATTGGATGTTGGAGTGGCAGTGCGCCAAGGTTACGCCGAGCGTCAAGCTCTTTGAAATGGAACGAAACCACGGCAGACTATTCAAAACTGGACTCTAACGCCCCCCCAGAACTACACATGCTGGCTATTGTGTTTCGCAACATGTTCTCTATGGCACGTCTCTACTGGGAATTGTAGTTTTAAAAGACAGGTGTGTCTACATTGGAATTACATCTTCATTACTGAAGGAAAAATACTTTACCTAGTGTTTGTTAACTGGGTTTTTGGATGATGGGAGACACATCTATGGAATCACAATAATATATGCCTAGAAATAGCATAATAGGAGATAGCACTGTTGCACGTCGGTCCTGCTCATCAGGTAAGACAGGTTTATATGTGTAGCACCCTGGTAAAAAAAAATCATCAAATCATTATAAATATTGAATTATTTGCAGCCCAGCGCAAAGTTGCATATATTTCCTTCGCACTGGGTCTGAATACGTGTAGCAAAAAAACATGATCTCAAAAACCTTTTTTCTGTTTCTTTAACAACTTCAAACTGGATTTCTACATGTTCAACCTCTTTGACTTCACCTCCCACTTGATATACGCTCATTATGTCTCCTCCCTTCTTCCCATCTCACCGGTTTTCTCTCTCTCTCCTCAGATCTCGCTGGATGCTCGGAGGATTCGCCTGATGCGGTTGCCTGAGGGGAAGGCCTCCACCAGCTCCTCGTCCTCTGGGAACAGGCAGACTGTCTACGAGGTTTGCGTTTGCCCGAACGGGAGGCTTTTCCTGTCCCAGGCGGGCACTGGATCCACCTGCCAGATCAGCAACAATGTCTGCCTCTAGGACTAATATATACATATATAAATAAATAAACAGATATCCTGAAAGACAGACGGCCAAAGACGGATAGATGTTCACATATTGCCCGCCTCCAGGACTGATAAACAGCAATCACAGACACAACATACAAAGACTGCCAGAGCTGATGGAAATATAAACAATAACAGATACTGTAACTATACAGACACACTGATGTATACACTTCACAAACAATCGCAAACAATCAGACTGATATTTAGGCTCAACCAATATGTTTCAACAGGCCAATACCGAGAATCTTGGATTGAAGCTGCGGACAGCTGATCTTTTGTGCCAATATTTCAACACTAAAAGATATTTTCTCCCCTAATTTTATACGTTTCTGAAAGGAAAAGCCTTTGAAATCAGCATTTACAGCATCACGGACAATACAACTCTCCACTGAGTGTCACATACTGTACATCTCTCTAAGCTCTTTATACATAAAGTACAGCACGAGTTACATGGTTTTAAACTGAATTACATGAATAAATGGAAAAACGTGTTTTATTGCAGGTTTTAAAAAGGTTTTAACACTGAGATCAGAAAGATATTTCAAACTAGTTGCATAGAAAGGGCACTGACTGGCTGATATTAATATTATTTAACAAAAGGACAGTATTGATTATATATCGGTCTCAACCTATACCTGACTCTGCTATTTATTTATAGCATACAAACATGAGGATGCAAACTTGCTTACAGACATGCATTCACACATTATACACATTTAACATGGTGTATGCACACACTCACTCTCTTTGCTCGTAGGAGCCTGCTGGTAGAAACTGAGAGGAGAATTTCCAGAGATTTACTAAAAGAGACACCGATCTGTTCCTTTTCTCTCTCAAGAGTGTTTCAGAACGAGAATCACTAGGGTGATAACCCATAGCAACAGGCCACTCCCCCTCCCCTCCGTTTTTCTTCTCATTTTTCCTCATTTCTCTTTTTTCTTCTCCGCAGCGAAGATAAGTGAAGGATTCATACTTTTGCTGTTGTTCATAAAGCATTTGTAAAGCCCATAGGCATGCTGGAAGCACTTAATTAAGGCCAATCCTGACCAAATTGGGTCAGGATATAGGATGGTGTAATGCAGTGGTTCTCAACCCAGGGGGTCCACAAGATTATTTCTGAGGGTTGCCAGATGGTTATGCAGAGACGGAAAAAAAAAACATTAATAATAAAATAACCTATTTTAGACGAGGGAAGGTTTTTTTTTTACATATCATTGCCTGTAACAGTGTTATCATTTGCCTTAGAAAACGAAAAGTGTATTGTGTGTTTGTGAGTGGGGAATTTCTGTGTCAGGGGGAGAGAAAGTCAGATTTAAAAAAAACAGCGTGCCGAGAGTACATTTAGCGACGCTGTTCAAGGTAAACAAACACTAAAGAGATTATTCTGGGGGTGGTCACGACTCAAAAAGGTTGAGAACCACTGGTGTAATTGACAAAAGGACTGCATGGCTTATGAGTTTAATGGATACTTCAGCTCAGCCAAAACACAGACAAATAAGGTTTTCAGTTTACCAACCCGCTTTCACTATGGACTTTGCTTTGGGATGATGTCACTCATGTTAAATATTTTTTTCTGGTTTGGCACATTTGCAGGATGTGAACATGGAAATAGTTCTGCCTTGAAAACCTTAACCTATAAACTACTGGTCTGTTGTGTGTGTTTTCTCTATTTTATTTAATGTAGTCATTCTATTTTTAACTGAGTAAAAAGCTGTTTGATTTTCACATAGTGTTTTGCTTTGCTGCGTAACTGATCTGTCTCCTTAACAATGTCACAACCTGTTATAATGCTTTCTTTTCACACAAAACATTTCCAATGTAAGCTGACGGGAGCTCAGCGGCGGTGGTCACCCTACTGGTTTCTTGCACTGGGATATTTTTTAAAAGAACAAAAACAAACTAATGCGAGCCACTCTGTTGAAAGAGGGGAACTGTGCCTGTGCCTTATGTCAATGCACTTGTGGCAAGAAGAAGCACATCACACAGACTTTCTTTGGCATCAACGAGTAACATAATCTCTGATTTCAGTTCAGCTTCATCCCAATCACAAACCTCTCCCTCTGTGTGAATGCAAAGACCTTCAGCCATATCTGAGTGTAGCCCCCCTGCTGTCAGCACCTGACTTAGCAAAAGGATGAGAGGGTTATATTTTCTATTTACCACTAAACCTCCCCAGTTTGGATATTTTTGCTTTGGTTTTTTGATCAAATATTCTGTGTGAAAACATGTATGTGTTTCTGTTCATGTAAAATGTTATCTTAAAAGTTTCTCAAACAAGGCTATGTGTTCATTTCTTCCCATCTGGTGTCCTAAGATGTCAACAGCATTTTCATTATTTGACTTATTTGTTTATTTGATACCACAGCACTGTATTACAGCACCAGAGCTCTATTCTAACCCCAATATAATCATAATTAACACTACAACTACAGCGGACTTCCCACAAGTAAGTTTTCTAAAAAGCATCACATTTAAAAACTCGGGAAGTAGATGTAAACAAATTGGTTGCGTAATGATTCTGTTTAGGCAATATAGGTGAATTTGCAACGGCCAATACTTAAATATTTCTAATAAAAATATCTTAAAGGTTTTACTGTTCATACTGAAGGTGTAAGAAACAGAAGTGTTGCCATAGGTAACAGCCAACAACACAGAAGCATCATCATTAGCATTATAATTCCAAAAAACGTGGCATTAATACATGGTTTACTTGATAAGGCACCAGATTTTGACCTTTTCTGATGGAAACACTTGACTACGTGACGAGACGTAACAATCTGGGTTACAACAGAAACTACATCTTGTGTCTTGTGAACACTCCTGAACATACCCATAGTACCCATGACATTTATTTATATCTTATGATGTTTAAAGCGTTACATCCTTTTAAAGAGTCAGGTGTACCGACCCTCTCGCTGTCTCTCAGCTTCTCTGTCGCTATGTATTAAAGGACTCTCAGAAATATTTCAGATGATATACGCCGACGAAAGAGAAACACTGATCTTTTGCAAAAAGGAAAGCCTTTTTATAATGTACATCAGTATGTGTTTATACTAAAAGGGCAAAAATATATATAGGACTCATTGAGTTAGCATGTACAGCAATGCATACAATGTTTGCCTGTGGAGAACAAGCTGGTTTTGTTTTTATGCCTTCTCCTTCCTGTATTACCTGCTGAGGTCAGATGTTTTACACAAACCTGCTTTGTTTCGTTTTTGTTGTTGTTATTGTTGTGTTGGGTTCGAGGTCTTTGCATTCCCCCAAGTGTGCTGTGTGTGTAAATCTGTGCTACTATGAGTGAGCTTTTGTTTTGCTTTTCTGCTCCACAGAAAGTTATGAATGATTCTCAGAGAAACCAAAAGTAAAGAGAAGCAATGAAGGAAAGACATGAGCTGCAACAATGGGATAAATACAGAAATGGGCAACAAAAATATGATCAATTAATGAATCTTCAGATCAAAACCAATATGTTCAATCGGAGATAAACTATTGAGAAAGCAGAAGTATACTTTAACATTGGATTGCGTAATGCATAAATGTTGTAATCAAAGTAACCTACATTTGATCCAATGATGACACTGATGAGGCATGATCCAGTGGATTATATGGCTGATTAAATAATAATATTGCCCGGATCACTTTCTGTGATGCAGCCCTGTGTGTTGTCGCTGAGTGCTCTGTACTTCCTTCCTAACGTCCATTCTGAATATTTACATTTTCCTGCATTCTTCAGTCTGAAACTGCCATTCATGGAGTAGTTTTCAAAGATGCCGAAATAAAAGGCGTTGTTCAAATTGACTGCGGTAGTCATTGGATCCAAAAAAACAACTAGAAATGTTGACATAGTAAATGCAATTGACAATGATTCTCTTTAGGCTCACAGCGTTTTGCCTGAGTGTAATTTAATGCTTTATTCGCCTATCATCAACACTGATGGGACTTTACCACAAAAGGTGGTGAATGTCCCTTCAATATTTAATTGAGTTTTCACTAGACTACAGATAATGGCTCACCATTGACATTTGTAGTTCTTATAGCTAAATTGGTTGTATCGAAGCTGTTAAAAAAAAAAAAAAGATCGACTTTTAAGTACCACAATGATGCTAAGGCAAACGTTTTAAGCACTTGACTGCTCGTTTTTGTTCAATCTTTGTTAAAATGACACCATGTTTTAAATGTTCCAGTATATTTTCCCTTACCTTTTAATTTTGACAGAAAATAATAGAATGAGCAACATAAGATAGTAGCTAGCTAGGAGGCAATGTGTAGCTTTGGATTGTAAAAGTCAGTTATATCTCTAAAACCTAAGAGTAATGATAAGCTGATGTTGCAACAGGCTTATGGTCACATTTATTAAGTTTCCCTTCGTTACTTTCTGTCTTTTCTTTACCTGCTACTCTCAATAAAGTAAATGTATAGTCAAATGTATCCCACTGTTATACAAATAACATGGAATTCAGCTGTGAAGTCAATAATAAGAAAGTCTAAAGTTTTCAGAGGTTCAGAAGCTGGTTTCAGGCATTTGATAAAAATGTGACTTTGATCTGAATGTGATTTGTCTCATCTTTTAAGAAACAGGAAGTTGTCTGTCACCTGCGGCCGAGCATCTCTGGACCAAGTTCCTTTTCATCTTCAGTGCAAACATTTCTGCAACAACGTACAGGGTGAATACCTGGTGAATGGAGGACCGTAAAGATAACACAGAATTATGAGGAAAGCCATTTCCAAAATATCTGTATCCAGCTTGTAGTGTTTATTTCAAGCCATAGATTGTACAGATGCCATTAAGGTCATGTCGTCAGTCTTTAATCTTTGTTCTGTGATTTATTTTGTCCTAAGGGGTGAGTTGCGAATGATAGATATATATATTTATGTTTATACATTCAATTACAATTAAAAAAAAAAGACATAGTGAAATCAGATTTAATCTATCCAAAGAAATTGCTGTTTTATCTCACAATGCTTCTCGATTCATCCAGTTTCCACATTTCCCTGATGTCTTCATCGTCTTCATGGTGCTCTGATGGATCATGATTAATCATATGTGTGAAATTGTTTTCCTGACAGCTTTCATGCCTTTTTCATTGTCTCCGAGCCTTAAAATCATCGAAGGAGATTAGATATTTTCAGTTTGGAATAAAAAGACTCCCTGGAGCTTTTTCGCACGCGTTAATGAAGCTTTTTATTCAAAAGAAAAAGGACTGTATTTTTTAAGAACGAAAAATGTGGACGGTTATTTAAGTCCAGGCCTTTTTTTTTACCAAAGTCAGATATTAAATCTCACAAAGCAGACAAATTAGTCTGTTTAAAGCCGCTGTAGGGCATCACTGGCCACATTCGCTCAGAACTAACTTCACTTTCCTTCAGCGTATTTTAATTTGATGGTTTTCAGCCGACCCTAACGCTTAGCTCTGGCAGAGTTCGTTCTAGGTCATGCCTCCTTTCTTGTTTGCAGTTTTATCAGCAGAGTGAACCATTGCTACCCCAGATTAATCCGGGCTCCTCGCTTTCTTCATCTCATGATGGCAAGCCCACTGCAGAGCAACTGTTTGATCAGAGAAGCTGGCTCAGAGAATGGGACTCAGCGGGTTGACTCATTAGCAAATCTTCACTGAGCGACGGCTAACCTAGAGCTACAGATCTGTTGCGAAAGCATCTGAGCGTGGCGTTTGCGTTTTTGTCCATATATTAAAACAACTGACATTGTCTGCATTAGAGTAAAACTGGCAACAAATCACGTTTAAATGCCTTTTGTAAGAAACTTTTACATTATATTTCTTTATCATAACAATAACTGTCACAGGATAAAAGTCAGGATTGGCGGCTTTCCCATCAATATTCAATATGCCAATTTAATTATGTTAAAAGGGGTTTTGACAATTTTCTTTGAAGCTCTTTCTTTGTCATTTCAACAACACTACTGGCTAAGTAAGGACGTTTCAAAGTCAAGCGTCGTTGTCACAGAAAGGCAAAGATTTTACATGATTGTGTGCCATTTCACAGTGGCTCTTTTAAGAAAAGAGCTTCTTCGTACAAAGAGCCACTCTCCTAAAGATGACTTTTCTCTTGGATTATTGGAATAAGAAGCCCACAAAGCTGAGGGGGAGTTATTGACTGGCTTTCTCTTTGTCTCATGATTCAGCTGAAAAGAGAAAGAAAAAGGCTTTCTCTTTTTATTAAGGATGTTACCTGAAGGGCTGCATGAAAAGGAATGAAGTCTTTGTAATGCATTATTCCTTGAACTACAGTATGAAAATGTTTGAATACACACATAAAGGATTATGGCTTGCGGCTGGTTGGATCAGTGACGCTGGTGCTATTTGTCGAGCAAGTTTCCACAGAGAAGTGATTTCACCTGCGATTAAATATTAAAATCACCTTTTGTCTGAGGCTGGTTTGAATATTTAATGCTTGTCTGACACACTTACAAGTCAGCTGTTTAACGGTGTTGGTTCTGATTGACTCTGCTCAACTGTTGCACGTTTTCTCCTGTATAGTTTTAGTATGGCAGGAAAAGCCACTGCTGTTCCGTGGTTTGATTCTGCTATAAAAGTCCGTTACGTGTCTCTCAGCTCTTTTATCTGATGGATGAAAATGTTATCATATAAGTTTTATTCATCACTTATCCGCACTGGCTGCTGAGATTCGTCAAAAGTTGTGAAGTGTCATGAATTTGTCATTTTGATTTCTTTTTCATCTGCAGTGCGTGTAAAACCTTAATTGTGTCCGAGCTTTTTTTGTGCCTCGTACATACTGGATGGTATTTCAAGATACTTCCGAATAAAGTGCCAGGTGCACCAGGTGGCTGAGATTGAACTGCACATGAATATTAACACATAGCTGCACATTGGAGGTAAATCATCCTCTATTTCAATGTGGCTTAAGTTAATGCTAAATAATCATTTGCTTACTTTGTTAAAGCATAAGAGTTAAATCCTGTGATTGAGATTTGTGAGATTGATAATTTTATTTGCCATTTGTGTTACGGTGAGGGAAGCAAGCAGGACCCAAATGCAGATAACGCTGAAAATGCCTTTATTTCAAGGATTATATAGACAAACGGAACACTCCCCGGGGAACAGTCACCAACAAAAGATGAACCAACACTGAACACAGGAAGAGACAAGACTAAATACAGGGAGGGGACGAGAAACAGCCGGGCAGGGGAGGAGAAACACAAGGGCGACAGGTGAATAAAATCAGACAATTAGACACACCAGGGAAACTAACGACAGGGAGGAAAAACACAGGAAGAAGGACCAGACAATATACAAGGAGGAAAACACCTATTACCAGACATACAAAACTACAACCGTGACATAACATGAGAATCCTGACAATTTGTGTGTCGTTCAGGATTATATAGTTTTTATTTATTTTTTATTTTTACTGTGATGAGAAAGGGAACACATTCTATGCCAAACATAGGGTAAAAAGCCATAATCCAATGAATTATATCAGTAAATGCTCTAAAATGTTGTTTTCTGTATACACAAAAGATTACTTTTAGCTGATACATTGATTTAAATGTAAATGTTTCCTTATTTCCCCTGCAAATTCTTCAAACACCCACAGAGCAAACTTTTCTGTATCTAGAGAATGTAGTTACAAATGTTCACAGATGACAGTTTGCCAAAACTCTTGGCCATAAAACTAGTGTTTTAGAATTTGGAATTTTGGACCTGTTTCAGTTTTGAAAGTCAAAAAATCTCAAGCAATTACTCAGTGCCTGGCAGTGATCTGATCTCACAGAGCCAGATGTGATTTTGTCACTTAACGGTACAAATAAACACTATCGACAAGGGTCACATTCTGGTCTCACATTGCATTAAAACCTGCTTCTACAAAGCACAATCCCCAACGTTGTTGTTACCAATTTGATGCATTTATTAAGAGAGAGATGTGCCCGGATGCAGTCACCACACCTGAGAACTGTCATATATTTGTTTTAATAGTTGTCATTTCCAGACGTGGGAAGTAGTGGAATAAAAATACTTTGTTACTGTACTTAAGTACATTTTTCTGGTATGAGTACTTTACTCCACTACTTATTTTTCTGACTGCTTTTTACTTTTACTTTAGTTTTAATCTGCGTTTGGTGGCGTGATCATTATTATTTAGAGTCATTGCATGCCTATTGATTTTAACACGATCCATGTATCCATAATTTCCTGGTCTTCTCTAAAGAAGAGCGACCAATGAGAACGTTGTAATTTTGCCATTGTTCAGCATCGAAACATTCATTGGCTAACAATGACATTATTGTTATATTAATATAAAGGGAGGTCAATTACTCTTTAAAACAGATGGTAGTTATGGGTACTTTTTACTTAAGTACATTTCGAAGCCCATACTTCTTTACTTTTACTTGAGTAAAGAAGTTTAGTCCATACTCCTACTTTTACCAGAGTATTTTTAAACACGAGTATCTGTACTTCTACTTGAGTAAAGGATGTCTTTACTTTTGCCATCTCTGATCTTTTCCGGCAATTTTTCGTGCCATTATCATGTCAACATAACTCATGGTATAACCACCCTCTTATGATGACAAGTGTTTGGTTATTCAAACTCACTGCAATCTGTCAAGTAGTCAACATTAATTGACTCCTGACTTGTTGGGGATCAGGTGGATTATTAAGGCAAATGGCTTTATCTGTGAGGTGGGAGTGGCAATGGGTTTCTCTCTCTTCTACTGGCAGTTTCCGACTATTTAATGCAGGGTTCAAATGTCTTTAAGATTGGGAAAAGTGCTGTTTTTCTTTTTAGCTCTGAGTTTTTTCACTGCTCAACAAGAAAAA